CACTCTCCCTAGCCCACATCAAAGCCCAGCCAGCCATTTTACCGATGAAACCATAGCCTTTGTGTTTTCCTGTCGTAGGATCCCTGGCTAGCGTGCAGGATTTAATCTTCCCAAAGGCCTCAAACACGCTCTTGATGTCATCATCTGAAAGGTCCTGATGCACAGATGCCACATAGATGCGGTTGAAAGCCCGTGCCTCTTCTGCTAGCTGGTCTATAATTGGTTGCGCCTGACCTATATTACTGGGTCTCCCAACCTGCGGAGAACCAGCAAACAGTGCATTACACGTTCTGAAGAGCAGCAGCACGACTCACCCAGAGTTACAGCAGAGAAGCACTCAGCCACCTAACTGCCCTTTCAAACCCAGTAACACCTCGTAAGGCCATAATTAGCAAAGGGCAACAGTTGACTCAGCTCTGGGTACAACCCGCACTACGGTGGATTCTAGATGTGCTGCAAGCCTGGACAGACTCTGCCCTCTCCTCCACCGTATTTCCCCCATTTATGTTCCCTGTCCTAAAACCCCCTCAGAAATCAGACACTGCAGATATGCAGTGTATTAGAGAGATAAATGCAAGATACAGAATCCCAGAATCGTTTGGGTTGGAACAGTCCTTTAAGCTCCCCCAGCCCAACCGTTCCCCTACCCCTGCCATCCCACCCCCAAACCCTTTCCCCAAGCGCCACGGCTGCCCGGCTGTTAAATCCCCCCAGGGCTGGGGACTCGACCCCTTCCCTGGGCAGCCCCTTCCAGCCCCTGACAGCCCCAAGGGGAAGGAATTGTTCCCCATGCCCAACCTCACCCTGCCCTGGCACAACTTGAGGCTGTTTCCCCTTGTCCATCACCTGTTACCAGGGAGAAGAGGCCAACCCCGACCTCGCTACAGCCTCCTAAAACACTTTGCAGAAAACGCTAGTCTCATCCCGTCCCCTCCAGTGTTTCACCTCTGCAAGTTCCCCTCTTACTGCCTGAAAAACCACAGCTACAATCCTTTGTCCCTTTCTGTTTGCACCAAGCACCTCCTTTTTGTACAGCAAGGGTGGGCCTCCACTTGAAGTCCCTTGCACTTTCAACAGGCACAAGAGTCTGCTGCTACTCTCTACACAGGTAGAACATGAGAAAGCATTACAATAGCAAGAATCACCTTTGCGTTGTCCTCAAGAGACTACCATTCTCTGTGGGTGGAAAACACACTCAGCTAGCTTACCAGAACCAGTTTCCAGGTTTTATTAGCATGCTGGAGGTTTCTCCTCAGGGAGAAAGGGACCCAGAGCCGCTACGTACTCAATAGGTTGAATATCAAGGTCTACCAGGGAACGGACTTTAGGTTATCTTTCTCATTGCAGTGCTGTGGGAAGCATTTCTGGGCATAAACCCATTATTCACAGTAAAGAAAACTAAGAATTTTCAGACCATGCCTGCTCCTTACCTTTATATTTCTTCCCCCCAGCATGACAGAATTCATCTGCTCCAAGGCCAGCTGAGCGGCTTCAGGTACCTCATATTCCACAAAAGCAAAACCCTAGGACAGAAGGATACACTTGTTGAATCATACCAGCCATGTCTTGTCCCGAATCTAGTGCCAAGCTAACGCAGCCAAAGCTTCCCACATACCAGACTCCTGCTACTGTGGCTTGAGAAGATGCCTCCTTAAAGCAGCTTTTTATTAAAGCAGAAAATTGCATGCAGGAGGACTGACACAAGGCTACCTGCTGCCGGAGCCTCTCATACCTGGAGGCCTAACAGCAAAAGGCCACCGCATACAGGACCGCTAGCTGTTTGGCATCTTTTGTGCCGCACTCAGAATCCCGCAAAGCTAAGCGGAACAGGCAGCTACAGACATTTATCTCAAAGTTGAAGTGCTAAAAGCAGCCTGCTCTCTACGAGGATAAAGGCTCCTTCTTCTCCTGGATATGTTCAAGAAGGCCTGGAGAGGGGAAAAACAGATCACTCGAGGGCTGTTAACCAACCTTGTGTTTCATCGTAACAGAGTCCCAGGACATATCAATGCTTTTTATAGGTCCAAATGGGGCAAAGGCCTGGCGAATGGTATCTTCTCCCAGTTCGTAGTATATGGAGCCCACATATACACGACACATGATGGCCAGGGCGCGCTGCCTCTGAGCTGCCATCTGTATTGGAAAGAAGAACTGGCTGGTTAGATCAGGGGGTGGTCATGGA